TGTAGTAATAAATGTAGTAGCAGGTGTAATAGTTCTTATCGTAATTGTAGTAGTAGTAATAGTAGTTACAGTAGAAGTTGCCAAAGTAGTCGTTGTAGTGGTGGTGGTAGTAGTTGTAGTTGTCACTGTATTAGTTATTGTCATAGTAGTACTTGCAGCAGTATTTGTTGTTGTTGTAGTAGTAGTACTAGTAATAAATGAAACATCACCACTATAAGTAGTAAATACAATCGGCTCTACTTTGACAACATCTTCCATAATTGTTGCAATTCTAGTACGCTGAATATCCGGAAAGTTGGTCCCACTTGGAAAAACAAATCCATCCAAAGCAGGAAACCTTGAAGTAACCAAAGTGTACGATACTGTACCTCAGGAAGTATATATTCTCCACATGATTATATAATAAAGTACTGCGCCTCCGCCTGAGTGCAAGTAGAGCCCGTAATGACAGACTGCACTTCCCTATGGTGGAACAACATGACCCAATGGACTGCACCTACCGTATATTCAGAACATGGCTTTTATGAAATGACGTAATTGAATTTGGAAGAAACGTGGACTTTACATGGGTTTTGGTGCTGGAAATTTGAAATGGCCAGAATGAGTGCATTGATCGTGTATGGAACCATTATATTGCTGTTCCCTCGTCAAAAACATCCCTGGAGTTGTACTTTGCTTCATTCACCCTTGTTTAATTAATCCATTCATCCAATTTCATCTTCTCTGAGCACTCAAATATTCATTTGCGTTTTGCCTGCATTGTAGAGTCGTAGGTACAAATACAGACTTCCGTGGTTACCGTAAACCATCTCCAGACTCATTCCATGGTCAAACTGTGTTCACAACAAACATATAGCTCTATTAGTGTAGCATTCACACGGATAAAGATGTTTATTTATCCTTTGTTCATTCTCAGTGCTGACAGCAGAGCAAGCTCCAACACCAAAATACTTCACTGGAAATAGAGCTGTAGTTTGTAGATAGACAGATACAAATATTATTTTGAAAAGCATGTTTAAAGGGGAATTGAAGCCACAAGAATGCATAATATGTATTCTTCAAAAACAAAGAAGCACTTTGTGGTTTACTACCCAATAGGGATGTGCAAAAATATTGATATATATCACATAGTTTAATCTGAAGATACAGTATTGATATCGTGGGCTGCTGTATGAATATATATCAGCAAGAGCATTGCTTGAGATGGTTTTAACCAATCATTTTGTGATAGCGTTAAAATTTAGTTGCGTTTTTAGACCAAGAAAACTTGTTTATGTAACACACGTTTGACATATTCACTGTTTTGATGATCATAATGGTTGTATTTCGTATTAACTTTGCACAAGTGGAGGTTTAGTAAAGACTTTTAGTATCACAGCCATGATTTAGACTTGATTTTTTACTGGTGCGCATCGAATGGATTTGAAATATATTGTATCAGATTATATACAACTGAAAGTGCGCTGTTGAGATTGATATCGTAACCTAAGTATCAATATATGTATTGTATAGCCAGTTTCTTTTTTTATTTTTTATTTTATTAGCAATTTCTGATGATACTTAATGCCATCATAAGGTTGATTCAAGCTTTTTGACCTCTGAAAAGAAAGTCAGACTAAATACAAACTACAGGATTGCTAAGGAACGTGTGAATCAAAACATAACTCCATGCACATTTTTGATGAGAAACTATGCTAAAAGTTCTGAAAAAATCTGCTGGCACAATATAGGACCTTTAACTAGAAATAAACAAGAATAGCTTTAGACCAACAGTACATTTTCCTCTTAAAGATTGAAACACATCATGAGCAATCGTTTCTTTGGTAAAACACCACTTCAACATAACATACGGGAAAACGGCAAATGTTTTGAAAGCTAGATTAAGATTTTTCAAGAATAGACGGGTCACAGTGACTCACAGGTAGGAGGTGAACCTTGCAAGAAACAAATTAAAACCAGTGGCCCTTAGTCAGCAAGTAGCAACCCATAAACGCATCCAGCCTTGCTCAACAGAATGAAACAGTTAGGTAATTATCGAAAAAAGATTTACAACTGGGCCGGTATCTTCTTGCTTTTTGTGATTTGTGGCGCTGTGGACAAAAGAAAAGCAGCTAAAACATGAGAGAGTGTGTGTATAATAGTGTGGGTCTTTGTGTGTGGGTAGTGAAAGAAGGATTCAGTGGTTTGGCAGAGAATTAGCCACTGTGGCTAACCTAAAATAACACAAAGGAGCTAACGGCTAACGGCTAGGTGTCGGGTTACCGGGCGTTTTTACCACAGGCTAACCCGACAAAACAATACGAGCAGGGGTTCAATGTCGAGAGGAAGCTGTAAAATAAAGTTAAATTCCAGTAAATGGGAAGCAGAGGTGTCTTCAGGCGTTAACAGTAAAACAGGCTACAATATAAGGATAAGTAACAGTAGTATACAATGATTTTTATAGTGGAGCTTTGAGGTAAAAGGATCAAGTATCTTAGCATTTTCTCATGATGGTGTTTTATTTATAGCCCTTTGGTCAGTTAAATGTGGTGACAAATATTAAATGTAACTGAATGAGAACAAATAGAGTTAGTATTAGTTCTATTATAAATAAAACACTGTAAAAAGTTGGATGTTTTTTTGTTGTTATTTTTAAAGCTACACATTTACAGGAAAAGTTACTAAAATACAACCATGTTTTTTTAAAAACTGTGTTTGAAAAATGTAGAAAACCGTGTCCTTTTAGTGAGTAGGCTTGAATCTCCACAAACCTGACTCTTATTTTCAAACCCTGCATATTTAGTAGGTAAGCTAGCAAACTGAAAACACTATCTCACCTTGTGATGTCATGTGGTAACACAGGAAGTGCTCTTCTGTGTTTTTAAACTCTATACACCACGGGTGTCAAACTCAGATTCACAGAGGGCCAAAATTAAAAACTGGGACTAAGTCGTCGGCCAAACAAAATATTTATAGCAAAATTTTAACAACATCTGTATGTTTTCTCTTCTTTCAAGATATGTAATGTTAAACCTTTTCTTATTAAAATAAATGTTTAATAATAGTTTGGCTTAAACACTGAATCCAAAACAAGCATAATATAAAATAATAACATTTATCTGTAGCCGGTGGGCCAGCTCTCATACATATTTGATATGATTTCGTGGGCCAAATATAATTATATCGTGGGCCAAATTTGGCCCCTGGGCCCAACTTTGACATGTCTGATATACACTTTCACTGGAATAATTTGGATAATTTCAGACCTGGAATAGCCAATCTCTACTGAACAAAAGGTAAAATGTAGCTGTTAAATTGAAAATGACCACTTCATGACATCACAAGGTTGAACAGAGCATTTTGAGCGTTGGAAATGTAGACAGTACATGTAGACTAATAATAAAAGCTAAATAATTAAAGTGTAGATTAAACAAAACACAACTCCAGTTATGTTTTTGATGAATTAATAATATTATAACATGGCTAAAAGGTCACAAATGTCAATTTTGCATAATATCGGACTTTTGATTTGTATTTGATCACATTCTTATACTTTGTTTCTGCAGTACAACACAGCTGAATGACGCCCCAAACCTGTAATCACCATTTGAACGCTACACCTGCATGTTTCTTCACCCAAAACCCAAGCTCAGCAACTTCGTCATAAACAATACTTCCCCTACCTCTTACCACATGTTACAGCCCCATCCTCCCCCGCTGCCGTCTCCCTGTAAAAATAGATGATGTCCTATGATAACGTCTCTTGTGTATTTCACCATTTCCTCCCCACAACCCAAGCCTCTCCGCCCTCGCACCGAACCGCCTGACCATACACACAACACAACAACATTGAACTCTGCGCCGGTGACTCAGTTTCATAGCGGCTCCCGATGCTAATTTACATAATGAGTCCCAAAACGACAAACTTGTGCAGATGTCTGGAAGTAGCCTATACGGTCCGGATGAGAGGGGAGGGGGGTGATGGAGAGATAAGGAAAGCATTAGGAAGCAGAGCAGAGAGGTAAACATGAGGGTGATGTGGGCTCTGTGTCCAAAAACTTCCTGCTATTATACAGAGGAGACATGTCAAACTCTGGCCCGGGGACCAAATTTGGCCCGTGATATAATTATATTTGGCCCGCGAGATCGTATCAAATGTGTATTCGAGCTGGCCCGCCGGCTACAGAAAAGTTTTAGAGATATTATTTATTTAAAATTTAGTTATTATTTTATATTATGCTTGTTCTGGATTCAATGTTTAAGCAAAACTTTTATTTTTAAGTATTTTATTTTAATAAGAAAAGGTTTAACAGTCCTGGTCTGGTCCCGGTCTGGTCCCAGCTTCAGTCCCGGTCTGGTCCCGGTCTGGTCCCAGCTTCGGTCCCGGTCTGGTCCCGGTCTGGTCCTAGCTTCGGTCCCGGGTCTGGTCCCGGTCCTGTCCCCGTCTCAGTCCAGGTCTCAGTTCTGGTCTGATCCCGGTCTCAGTCCCGGTCCTAGATTCAGTCCTTGTCTGGTCCAGTTTCTAAGTCCTGGTCTCACTCCCGGTCTGGTCATGGACCTGGTTTAGTCCTGGTTCAGTCCGTATGCGACGCAAAAGTCTGGGAAATGGCCGTTATCTGTTTGTTCGTTTTGGTTTTGGAGACAAATAATGAAGAAAATAGTAGTTTTTTCGTTTTCTTATTTTTGGTTTTATATTGAAAAACGAATGAACGAATGATACACGGATTTGGTACTTTCATTATTATTTTATCCGTAAGAGCTCAGGCTACATACAGCAATTTTAACACTTTTAACACTTTTAGCCAGCCCTGTGCGTACCGTATGATTAGCTCCTTGCATAACTGCATGTCAGTGTGTGTGTGTGTGTGTGTGTGTGTGTGTGTGTACGTGTGCATGTGTCCGTGTGCGTATGTGTGTGTCCGTAAAGCAGCTGTGAGCGTGGACAGGCTCAGACAGGCCCGGCTCACTCACATTTAACACGGGAGAAAACCACAGAGGTCAGGGGTCAAACCATGTTTTACCTTAGACACGAAACACTCTGCGATCGCCACAGGGTCCGCGTCACACCTCTCCAGCTCCTCGAGAAGATTTCTGAAATAAAAGTTAAGACGTTAGACAATATTAACACAAAAATCCTACTACAGTATTTGTTGCATTTCCTGCAATCGGGTTTGAACTAGGTTGATGACCAAACTCTCTGTACAAAATCCAAGCATCTTGAAATCGCATTTAGTTTAAAGTATTTATTGTGTTTATTTATAACTTTATTTATTCTGTATCTATTTATTTATTGAGCCTATTGTGCAAAAAGGACTTCCAGCCATGTTATAGTTATTTTCTTCTCACTGACCCTCTGAAGTTGTATTTATTTAGAATGATTTGTGCATGTTTGAATGATCTTTATTCTCCAGAATTCAAGATGTCAATGCTCAGATCAACCCACAATTTCAGTGTCTCCGGTACACGCCCACTGCACTTACTGTGTTCTCCTATTTTCAGTGATACATGTAGGATTAAGTAGTCAAAAAAAACTCAAAAACAAAAGAAAAAACGCAGCTTGGGTCTGTGTACCATTCGTTCTTTTGAATAATGAAAAATAAAAAAATGGGGAAAACAGTTTGTCATTTCATTATTGTGTTTTAGTGTCTCAAAAAAAACAACAAAAAACAGATTTCGACCTCGATTTCCAATATTTAATTTAAAGCTTATTTCAAAATAACACCAATAAAAACAATCTTTTTGATATTTTATTCTCTCTGGTTTATTTGCCCTGGAAGTTGTGCGGCTGGAAGGACGTACCTGAAAATCGTTGCAATTTTGTTGTCTTCTTTTATAGCGACGGGTTTATTTTCACATCTTAGAAAGTAATTGCTGAACTCCATGACGAGAAACAAGTAGGCAAATAAACCAGAGAGAATAAAATATCAAAATTAGGCACCAAGACTGTTGTTTGATTGGTGTTATTTGAAATAAACTTTAAATAACAATCAAAAAACAGTCTGAGTGCCTATTTTAATTTTGATATTTTATTCTCTCTGGTTTATTTACCGCAGAAGTTCTGCTGCTAGAAAGACTCAGCTGAAAAATCGTTGCAATTTTGTGGATAAACATGCCGTCTTCTTTTATTGCGATGTGTTCATTTTCGCATCTTAGAAAGTAATTGTTGAACTCCATGACGAGAAACAAGTAGGCAAATAAACCAGAGGGAATAAAATATCAAAATTAGGCACCAAGACTGTTTTTTGATTGGTGTTACCATATTTTCCGCACTATAGGGCGCTCTGAATTATAAGGCGCACTTGTCATTAAATGGTCTATTTTTGAACTTTTGTCACAAATAAACCGCACCAGACTTTAAATGAAACACAGTTAGATGGGTCAGTGGGACTTTGGTGCGTTTACGGTGACGCTGGGCTTTGTTCAGTTGTGGCATGTAGGGAGGGTGCTGTCTGGGACCGCTGGATTGTCGGCGTGTTCGCAGTGACTCAGTTGTTCAGTTCTGTCTAGAAGTGGCACATTGCACTCGCTTTTTCAGTTCGTTCCTCCGTTCCGTTCCTCGTCGGCGTGGAGTGATGAGTGTGGCTGTGGGTGTTTTTCTCTGCGCGGTTGCTGTCTCCTCCGTGTGTGTTTGTGTGCGCTGCAGGTGGTACGGCTTTGTAGTTTACTGAAGTCGTGCTGGGACACCCGAGTGGATTCGTGTATAGGGCGCTCTGGATTGCGGAGCGTGCAGTCGTTTTTTGATTGATTTTTTGGGGTTGGAGGCTTAAGAATGCGCCTAATAGTCTGGAAAATACGGTATTTGGAATAAACTTTAAATTACATATTGAAAATAGAGGCCAAAATCAGTTTTTTGTTTGACACTAAAATAGAATATTGAAATAAACCCTTTTCCCATTTCATTGTTATTGGTTCTTAATTGAAATTCAAAAGAACGAATGGTACACGGACTTGCTTACTAACTTGATCTACTTCTATCCATCAGAGTGTCTCACAACTTCACAGCGCTTTGTTGTGAAGACATTTACAGCGACGTGGGCAGTTTTCTAACACATAAATCACAAGACTTGTTTATTTTATTAAGTCATTCAAGATCAATATTGCGATTTAAAACGTCCAAAATACAACATAATGATCCACGATCCAGATTATAACTATACAGCCGAAACAATCACATGATGACTTAGGATTCATGAGGCGTGACGGGCCCTTTTCATCTGACTAATCCTTAATATCTGACATATCCGAGCTTCTATCATCTCTGAGTCATCCATATTAAGTCCGGCCGTTCTGCACCCACTTCCTTCTATTGAACCGCCGCGTCACTCTTTGTCCTTCGCTGTGGAACACTTAGGCTTACGTTGATTGCTGCATAGCTCCGGCATGAGGTCACTAAAACTGCTTTGAAACCACTTCCTTTTTACTGGTTTAGGCTGATCCTCACAAATAAGTAGGTGCAGTCAGTGATGGGGTTTGTGCCAGGTTGATGGTTAAAAGGGATTGTACCCGATTTCGCTCGTGTACAAAATAAAAATTTGTTTTGTTTCGGCATAGATGTATTGTAAAAGCAGGTCTTAAGGTCAACATGAGACCGCTATTATGAATTATGAAGCATTTTTATTGTCCGTGAACTAAGAAGTAAGGCTGGTAGCATGGTAGCTGTTGTTTGTTGTAACATGAAGGTAAAACTCCGCTCTGGAATCTGAAAGAAGAGAAAAAATCTGAGAAAATAGCTTATAAACTCATGGTGGTGACTGACTAGTTTGCTACCTTCAATACTTTTTACTATAAGTTATGTGAAAATCTACCTTGATAAAGCCAATATTTAATACTTAGTGTGTACCCTTGAGATTGTAGGCTTGAACAGAGGCCTTGTGGCTCATTCTAAAGTGTTAAAAATGCAAATATTTCAATTATTCACTGTACTGACCACCAGTCGATGGCCCTCGATCAGCTCTCTGCTTAATCTATGTTCTGACATGTGGCCCTTGATGAAAAAAGTTTGGACACCCCTGATTTAAAATGAACTACTTCTGTTTTTCACCTTTTCAGAAAGTAAATTCTAGAACAGTGACTTAAAACAAATGAAATAAATGACCTACTTTTTGCAGTCCTAAATTGTAAATTCATTTCAAACAGTTTGCAGAGGCCCAAAGTTATTCCTCACTTACCTTATCCATTCAAAGCATCTTAATTATTCACCGTGATGAGTTTATAAGCGCTTCTCACAACTCTGAGACCTGAGAGGAGTTTTGCCTTGACAGTAAGTCTCACAACTAGCATGCTAACGCCCACAGTTCCTGATTATCTGACAATAAAAAGCTTTATAATTAGTTGCAGACAGGTCCTATACTGCACAAAATTTACTCTTGTGAGCATTAAGCCATGCTTGAATGTTATTCCCTCCTCAAAAACATGGACCTGGAGTTATGTTTTGTTTCATTCACACATGTTTGAGTAAACTTCTATTGTTAAGCCGTATTTGCATGGGATAAGTACAACCTGGGGGCGTTGGAAATTTGCAAATTACCGCCCCACTTCTGTGTTACTTACTGATAAGCAAAGTCCATAAATTACTCTATTTTACTGACACTGACACAAAGATGGAAAGAGAAAAGAATGTGGAAAGAAAAGAAAGAGATAGAAAAGACGCAAAACAAACACTGAGATGCAGATTCGCACGAGACTAGTGTTATCACTGGACGTCTGTGTTTGGTGAAATATAGTAGGTCATTTGCGGCAAAATTTTGACTTGACAAATGACGCACATGGCACATTCACTCGGGATTAAGATCTCAGGCATCCTCCGCAATTATTACAAATCACCAAAGGTCCACAGGTAAAACTAATCCAGTGCGAATAGGGCTTTAGTCTGTGCACATCTCCAAAGCTCTAAAAGCTCTGTTCCACCTTGTGCCGATAATTTTCAAGTTTCAACTACATTTTTGCTGTTTGTTCAGTAGAAATGGGACATTCCAGGGTGGAAATTACAAATAAAAACGATTCTATTAAAGGTATTTGGAGTTTAAAAGCATGGTGGAGGTCTTCCTGTATTACAGTGTTTTCAGTTTGAGAGAAGAATTCAGCCTAAATATGGAGGGTTTGTGTGTGTGTTTCGCATGTGTGAATGAAACAAAACACAACTCCAAGTATGTTTTTGATGAGGAAATATTATAACAGACCAGAAAATAATGTAATATGGGCCCTTTAAGATTTAGGATTTTGGTTTTCTCCATATATTTTAGAACAACAATCCTGTCACTCCACAAAACCAATAGGTGTGGTCAGGAACATGTGCACTTAAAGCTTAGGACCACCATGGCTGTGCTTGAGTGGCCACATGAGCGAGCCGGGCCAGTACAGACACCGCTGTGGAGGAGGAGGAGACGATTACAGCTCCACCTGATCATTATAAAGCCTGAGATGTTTCCCAGAAGTCCACAGGTGCGCAGAGGAAGCTGGTTTCACGACCCCAGACGGACACGCTTTATTGGTTAAGAAAAAAACACGGAGTTATTTCTGGAGGCAAAGGGTGTTTTAGGTGAACGCAAAACTTATGTCAGAGTCTGGAATTCAAATTCTAAAGGTCAAAAACTGTTTAAATTTAAATCATGTTGTCATGTTGTCACCTCCTCAAAAACAGACCTGGAGTTGTGTTTTGTTTCATTCATGTTTGAGTTAATCTTTATAATTAGTCTGTTTACATCTTCAAAGCTCAAAACGCTCTGTTCCACTGTGTGAACCGGTAGTTTTCAAGTGAACAGCTCCGTTTTATTAGCCTGATTCATCAGCCGGTTTCACTTTGTTTCACTTCGTAGAAACTGTCTGACTTTGCAGTGTTAGAATTTGTTCGCTCGACGGTAGGTGGGTACTTTTTTCATTTAACCAATCGCTGCTATTTGGTTGTGACGTATGTAATGCACCAAATCCTGTAGGAAGAAGGACAATAACGTCTTTCCCCTTGATAAAATTCACCAGACATTCACCAAACATTCTCTTTGTTCAGGCTTTAAATCCTCGATCTTGGGAATCATTGACAACACAGAATATATGTCTCTTCGCTGATTGGCTGGTGCCTGACCTTGCACTTCCGGGGTTTTTGCGAACAGTCTATTGTATTTTGACCTAGTCACTGGAGAAAAATGAAATTGAGCAGAGGCACTAGGTGGCGCCAGTCTGGCTAATGTTTTATCTTTTGTTCAGTAGAGATTAGGGGTGTAACGATGTCCAAGTCTCACGATACGCTATTGTCACGGTATGAACCTCACCGTACGATATTTATTGCGATATCGTGGGAAAACTCATGATATGGTGGGGAGGCTCACGATTAGAGATGTAAAAATATCCAAATCTGTCAGTATGATATTTTCACGATATACATCTCATGGTACGATATTTATTGCGATATTTTAATGTGCTACTTTTTCCTCTGAAAATGCCTTGACAAGACTTAATCCAAAGTGCTTAGAACTGTTATTTCTTCTTGTAGTCTGCACTGAAATGGAGCAAAGGATCATGGTCAATGTAGTTCTCCGTCTTATTTTTAGCTATTGCTGCACCATAACTATTAATTTAAGCAAAGATACTTGTAATTCGATACATTGTGATGGTCCACGATATTATTGTGAGAACTCTGACGATACGATATCACGATATTTCGGTTATGGTTACATCCCTAGTAGAGATCGGCAAATCCAGGGCTAAAAGTATCCAAAATGATTCTAATGAAGGTGTATGGAGTCTAAAAACACAGTGGAGCGCTTCCGGTTTTGCCACATGACATCATAAGGTGGGACCAAGTGTTTTCTGTTTGAGAGAAGAACTCGTGAATGTGCAGGGTTTGTGTGAATGAAACAAAACACAACTCAAGGTCTGTTTTTGAAGAGGAAACAACATTTTAACAAATCAGAAAATAGTGTAACATGGGCCCTTTAAAAAGTTTGTACCTGATTTAAATTTACTCTTGTCAAGATTTTTCTTTGCTACAATAATCATGGGAAATCAATTGAAAAGTAGGCAGAGATTGGAGAACTATGAGGAAAATTCCCCGGCACAGACCAGTATTTAGTTTTGGCTGACCGGCTGCCTAAAGCGTCCATAAAACTTTATTTGAACACTTCAGCGACTACTCAGCTCTTGTACAGACTTGTAGTAAATAAAGGCTGTGGGTGAGTTTGAGGAACATTTAAACTGGTTCGTTGCTTCGTCATTGGTTGCTTTGTCTTTTGTGGACCAACTTAACGGGAAAAAGTTAGTTTTAGGTTTTTTCGAGCCCTGTGTCCCTTGTCCCAGCAGATTCCTTACCTCCAAAACCAGTGATTTGTCTCAGTTTTATACAAAAAATGTCCCTATTTTTGACCAATTTGATCCCTACCAACAGTAAAGAGAGGCATAAATTGTCACTTGTTTAGGTAAAATACAGAAAAACTGTTTAAAATTTACCAAAACACAAAGAAAATATGACTATACTCACTCACATTAATCATAAATGGGAAAAGTGCAGAACGATTTACCTTAATTGCGCGTTAGTTTCACAATTTTATTATTACAAACCACCACAAACTGTCCCCAAAGTGTCCCAGTTTTTAATTTTAGCCACATGAGAAAGAATGAAGCACTGACCTGTTGAAGTGGTAGATGTCCTGGATGTTCCCAAACAGTGATCCTTTGTCCTCGGGGCTCAGAGCGGACACAGACTGCTCGCTGAGGCTCTCTAGGTAATCCTGCACACACAACAAAACAATATACGACAATTAAATAGCAATCATAGTCTGTAAGTGGACATAACTAATTTGCTAGTCGCTGTATCCTGGTGTAATTAGACATTGTAATTCCATTAAGGGTCCTTCTATTACGCACAAATTGCTTCTTGTGAGTTTTAAGTCATGTTTGAAAGTTGTTAAATCCGTGTATCATTCATTCATTCATTTTTCAAAATAAAACCAAAAATAAGAAAACGAAAAACACAACTATCTTCTTCATTATTTGTCTCCAAAACCAAAATGAAAAAACGGATAACAATTCGTTTCTCCCTCTCATTCAAGTCCTGGTGTAGTCCTGGTTTAGACCTGGTTCAGTCCTGGTTTAGACCTGGTTCAGACCTGGTTTAGTCCTGGTTTAGACCTGGTTCAGACCTGGTTTAGTCCTGGTTTAGTCCTGGTTTAATCCTGGTTTAGTCCTGGTTGAGACCTGGTTGAGACCTGGTGTAGTCCTGGTGTAGTCCTGGTGTAGTTGTGGTTCAGACCTGGTTTAGACCTGGTGTAGTCCTGATGTAGTCCTGGTGTAGTCCTGGTGTAGTCCTGGTGTAGTCCTGGTGTAGTCCTGGTGTAGTTGTGGTTCAGACCTGGTTTAGTCCTGGTTTAGACCTGGTTTAGACCTGGTTTAGACCTGGTGTAGACCTGGTGTAGTCCTGGTGTAGTCCTGGTGTAGTTGTGGTTCAGACCTGGTTTAGTCCTGGTTTAGTCCTGGTTTAGACCTGGTTTAGACCTGGTTTAGACCTGGTTCAGACCTGGTTCAGACCTGGTTTCAGACCTGGTTCAGTCCGTATGCGGCGCAAAAGTCACAGAAACAGGGAACAGCTGTTATAAATTTTTTCCATTATTTATTTAAACACAAAACCGAAAACTGCAAAAACAAATCGTTATCCATTTTTTTATTTCAGTTTTGGAGACAAATAATGAAGAAAATAGTTGTTTTTTCATTTTCTTACTTTTGGTTTTATTTTGAAAAACGAATGATACACAAATTTTGTTACCTCACCAAAAACAGACCTGGAGTTGTGTTTTGTTTCATTCACACATGTTTGAGTCACTCTTTATTATTAGTCTATTTACATCTCCAAAGCTCAAAATGCTCTGTTCCACCTTGTGATGTCTTGAAGCGGTAGTTTTCAAGTTAACAACTACCTTTTTAGCTTTTGTTCAGTAGAGACCGGCAATTTCACGGCTGAAGTGTTCCAAATGATTCTAGTGAAGGTGCATGGAGTTTAAAAACACAGTGGAGCACTCTCTGTATTACCACATGACATCAAAAGGTGGAATAGAGTGTTTTCTGTTTACTCAGCCTCAGAAATAATAATAAAATATGTAGGATTTGTGTGTTAAACGTGTGTGAATGAAGCAAAACACAACTCCGGATACAGTATGTTTGTGAGAGGAAACATTAAAACACAGATCAGAAAATACCACCCTTTCATTTACACTTTCATTCAGGCGATTACCCAGAAGAACCGTGGGCATATTGTTATCACCTGATTAGTTTTTACAGCGAGCCTCACGGGGCTTCTGTAAACAGTGCGTTACGGTTAACATACATCCGTTAAACTGTGCGTGTGACTGTAGCATTGGCTGTAAAACGTTGTATATAGCATTGGGCCAGACATTAGAAGACTACACAAAACTCCCACTGTGGTCCGACGAAAGCAAACAAAAAGTGCTTCGTTTAGAGACAAGAAAAGAAGGAAAATAAAGGTGGTTTTTAGCCGGTTCTTGCCCCGAGCGTGTTTGCTAATACCAGTCTACCGCAGCGTCTTATGTTCTGTAATGCCCCAATTACCCCATTATTACAGCCACATGGAGCTGAGCCAGAGAAAGTACAGAAAGTTGAAATGTTGTAGCTTGCGTTGTTCAGACTACGGACGCCAATCAATGCTAGAACTTGTAACGAAACTAGATACTCATTTGAGCAGGTGTTGATACTAAAAAAGTCCCATTCACAGGACAGAAATGAACCTTTCCAGAATAGTTTTAGAATGATCTTGAACTGGATCAGAACAAGTATAAGAGCACATAGACTAGTATACGCCCATGGACCACTATGGAACCTACCTGGACCACGGAGGGATGAAGGCTGAAAATAGCACAAAAAAGGAAAGAGATCTGCACTACAGTTCTTTGATGCTCCCAAATTTTAATTTCAGTGACACCACAAGGTGATGTTTCAGGCCAACATATGTCTGAAGATTCATCAGCCAGTTTCACTTCGTAGAAACCGTCTGACCTCGCAGCATTAGGATTCATTAGCTCGACAGTACGCGGGTACTTTTTTTAGTTAACCAATCGCTGCTGTTTGGTCGGGATGTATATAATGCACCAAAACCTATAGGAAGAAGGGCAATAACGTCTTTCCCCTTGATAAAATTCACCAAACATTCTCTTTGTTCCGGCTTTAAATCCTCAATCTCGGGAATTGTTGCCAACACAGAATGTCTGTCTTCGTCTACATCCATCTCGACGCTTTGTTTACTGTTGTGCTGTTCCACAAAAGGGACCCAGACAGGTGCAACGAGTTTGAGGTCATGGCTTCACAGTTCTTCGCTGATTGGCCAGTGTGCAGTCTACAACGTCCGGGGTTCTTGCAAACCGTCTAGTATATTCTGATTCCTGACCTAGTCGCTGGAGAGAAATGAAATTGAGCGGAGGCACTAGGTGGCACCAGCCTGACAGTCTGAAAAAGGGCTTGGCCCGAAACGTCACATTGTAGTGTCACTGGAATAAAAATTTGGGAGCTTCAAAGAACTGCAGTGCGGATCTCTTTCCTTTTTTTGTATTGTTTTTATCTTTGAACCCAGCACGCAGTCACAATTTTAGTTGGATGCTCATGTCTCTATCTACCATGAATGCTGAAAATCACATTCTATTATCAAAATAAAGAGTAAAGTTTTTTTATTATCATTGTGGTATTGGAATCGGTATTGAGTATCGAATTTATTCCTTAATACTGAACAAGAGTTTGAAATCTTAGTATCGTGACAAGACTAATTCAGACTTGCTTAAACCTGTTAGGAGTACCAAATGAAACAAAAGTTAACGTGTCAAGTTAGAAAAACGTTTTGTGTGTTGTCATATGCAAAAATATGAATAAATTAAAGTTAACCAAAAAAAAAAACACAACTCCAGGTCCAGGTTACTCCAGGTAACAACTTTATAACATGACTTAAAGTTCACGAGAGTCAGTTTTGTGTAATATGGGTCCTTTAAATAAACTTCGACACCTTACACCTTTATGTATTGTATCTCATTAAGTAAACACTGACAAAGCAAATATAATTACTCTGTTGTCATATTACATTTGACCTCATATAATGTGAATAGTTGCTGTGGAGGATGAATACTATCCGGTATGAGCTTTGAGCAAATATTTAGCATTGAGGATTAAGGAAGTGCAGCTAAGTCATATTGACAGGTAAGACGCCGCTAAATCTCGGGGTCAAGACGGGGGTCGTGTCGAGATTTCTGCCACGCTAGTTGTAAATCGATGCCCTATTAGCCGCGGGGTCGCGCATTTGACCCGCCCTCGACCCAGTCACTCAGCAGCTCGAGCCTGCCAGTCCGAACAAAGGGCAGCATTTAGCAGAACGCACGCTAACTCCAGAAGACACAACATGCAGCGGCTTGATGCGTTCTCACGTTAACCATTAGCGGAGGAGCTTTTTTTCCAACAGAAGAGTGGAAGGAAGTCTAGACAATACACAAGGCAAACATACTAAGCGCACAATGTTGAATAGTGTTTAAATAGAATGTAGATTTATGGCAAGATTTCATTAAATGCTTGTGTTTTCATGTTCTTATGAAGTATGTTTTTTCATGTTTGAAGTCGTAGATTAGAGCTGGACTAACAGTGAAGAGCACAAAACATTATGTACAGAGGTGGGTCGTATACTCAGGAATAAAGATGTATCCAAATCTCTTGGTTTGATATTTTTACGATATACATCTCACGGTACAATATTTATTGCGATATTTGAGGCTAAAAAAACTGTAAATATGCTACTTTATAATCCAAAGAACTAAGATTTAAAAGTGTTTAGAAATATAGTCTGCCTTGAAACAGAGCAAAGGATCATGGCCTATGTAGTTCTTTTCTGTTATTTTTAGCTATTGTCGCACCAAAACTATTCATTTACTTTTATCTCGATATATTGTGATGGTCCACGATATTATTGTGAGAAGTTTGACGATACGATATCACGATATTTTGGTTATTGTTACATCCCTACTCAGAAACATTTAGTAGTGGAATGTAATGAAGTAAAAGTAGTAAAGTAAAACGGGTATTCTGACTGTGAGCGGGGTCGTCTCTCCACAGATCTGACCTGTAACTTGGTCTGATTAAGTCCTGGTTAAGTCCTGGTTCAGTCCTGGTTCAGTCCTGGTTCACTGAAAAAGTTACACACTGCACCTTTGAGCCAATTTTAAAGTAGATACCTTTTATTTTTACTTCACTACATCTGAGAGCAGATATCTGTACTTTCTATTCCAGTACATTTTTAACAGATCTGAAAAGAGGAAGAAGAGGAAAAAAAAAAAGTATTTTTATTATTGTTTGAGACCTTCTGAAAAGGCTGAGGGTTTATTTCTAACGCATTTGTAGTTTGAGCAAACTAAAAGGAAAAAAAAAAAAAACAGCTACAAAAATATTGATTCAATTGTTTCTGTTGAACAAAAAACTTTAAAAAAAAAAATAAAAATCAAACTCACATTTTTATTTTTGTTTGAGACCTGCTGAAAAGTCAGTTTATATTTAAAGACGGCTTATTTCTTAACACATTTGTAGATTGAGCAAACAAAAATAAACAAAACAAAACAAAAAACAGTAGCTACAAAAAAGTACTGATTCGGTTGTTTCTGTTAAAAAAAAAAAAAAACTTTTTTTTTTTTTTTTCAATCAAACTCACTACATTAGATGCTTTATTAGATCTCAAAATCAACACAAAATATTTGCA